AGAATGTATACAGAAATAAGATCCAACTACATACTGTATACAAGAGACTCAACTGAAGTCTAAGTGAAAGAATGGAAACATATTTCATGCAAATAGTAGATGTGACCATACGAATATCAGACAAAATAGACCTTAAGGTAAAAACTGTTACAAGAGGCAAAGGACGGTATTATATAGTGATATAAGGATCAATTCTTCAAGAAGATGTAACAACTATAAACTTATGCACCAAAATCAGAGCTTCTAAATATATCAAGCAAATATTGACAGAATTAAGGGAAGAAATAGACATCTCAGCAGTAAGAGTACAGAACTTTAATACCACACTTTGAATAATGGATAGAAAAAAACCAAACAATAAGGAAACAAAGAATTTGAAAATACGAATCGACCAATAAAATCTAACAGACATATATAGAACATAAACATAAGTCTACCCATTAAAAGCAAAATACATATTTCTCTCAAATACACATAAGACAGATCAAGTATCATACCACAAAACAAGTCTTTATAAACTTTATAAGATTAAAATCATGCAACATATCTTTTCCAATCACAATGGAATGAAACTAGCAATTGATAAAAGAAAATTTTTTTAAGTCACAAACCTATGGAAATTAAACACATTCAAACAATAATGAGCTAAAGAAGAAATCACAAGGGAAATTAGAAAAAAATCTTGAGAAAATATGAAATAAAAACACAACATGCTAAAATGTATGCAATCGAGAAGCAGTACTAAAAGAAAAATATCCAAATCAACCATGTAAATTTATACCTTAAGAAGCTACAAAAAAATGAGAACCCAATGTTAGTAGAAGGTAGGAAAAAATAAAGATTAGAGCAGAAATAAACAAAATAAATTAAAAAGCCATAGAGAAAAAAAAATCAATAAAACCAAGAGTTGGTTCTTTTTTAAAAAGTTAATCTCAATTGACTATGAAAAAAAGAGAAGACTCAAATAACTAATATTAGAAACGGAAGATAATTCTTTTTATTTCTGTACAACAATAAAAATAATGAGCTTCATGAACAATTGTACACAAATAAGTTGAATAAACTAGGTGGAATGGACAAAAATCTAGAAACACACAGCCTACTAAAATTAAATTATCAAGAAATAGAAAATATAAATTGACATAACTAGTAAGGAAGTGGAATCAATGATCAAAAACATCTCGGAAGGAAAAGCTAAGGACCAAATGACTTCCCTGGGGAATTCTATCAAATATTTATATAATGAACACTATGCTCCTCAAATTCTTCCAAAAACCTGAAGATGAAACATTTCCTAACTCATGTAAAGAGGGAAACATTGCCTTGCTATCAAAGCTAAGCAAAGTCACTATGAGAAAACTACCCACCAATATTCCTGATGGAGTACCAGTGCAGAAGTCCTCAACAAAACACTAGCAAACAGAATTCAACAGTATGTTAAAAGGGTTATACACCATGATCTAGTGGAATTTCTTCCTGGAACGCAAGGATCGTTCAACTATGAAAAGAAATCAATATAATACATTGACAGAATGAATGGGAAAACCACATGATCATCTCAGTTGATACAGAAAAAAAGTATCTGACAAAATTCAACACACTTTCATGAAAAAAACTCAACAAACTAGGACCAGAAGGAAACTACCTCAACATAATAAAAGCCATGTATGAAAACCTCATACCTGACATCCTATTCAATGGTGAAAGAATAAAAGCTTTTTCTCTAAGATCAGAAACAGGACAAGGATGCTCACTTTTACCACTTCCATTCAATGCAGTATTCAAAGTCCTAGCTAGACCAATTAGGGAAGAAAAAATAATGAAAGGCATTCAAACTGAATAGAAAGTAGTAAAATTATCTTTATTCTCAGACAATATTATCTTACAGAAAACTATTAAGATTATATACATACACACACACCTGTAGAATAAACAAATGTTAATAAATAGTTCTGAAAAAGAACTAATAAAGTTTCAGGACAAAAAAAATCAATATATAAAAATCATTTGCATTTCCATACATTAACAATGAACAAAGAAAATTAGAGAAACAATTCCATTACAGTGGCAACTAAAAGAATAAAATACCTGGAATAAACTTAACCAAGGAGACCAAAGGCATGTACACCGAAAAGTATAAAATGTCACTTAGAGGAATTAAAGAAGACACAAATAAATGGAAAGACATCCAAAATTCATGAATTAGAAGACTTAATATTGTTAAGATGTGAATATTACTGGATGATATCTACAGATTCAAAACAATTTCTATCAAAATCCAAAATGAGTTTTTTTTTTTTGGCAGAAACATAAAAAGTTGTCCTACATTCATCTGAAACCTCAAGGGACCCAGGATAGCCAAAACAATCTTGCAAAAGAACAAAGCTGGAGATCAGACACTTCCTATTTCAAAATTTATTACACAGCTATGGCAGTCAAAACAGTGTGGCAGGGATATAAAAAGACACAGACAGATGGATAGAAGACACTTAGACCAATGGAATAGACTAGAGAGCCCAGAAATAAATCCTAACATATGCAGTCAAGTGATTTTTAATAAAGGTGCTAAGGCTGCACAATTGGAAAATGATAGTCTCTTTGACAAACGATGCTGGGAAAACTGGATATCCACATTCAGAAGAAGGAAGTTGGATCCTTACCCTACACCACACACTTCTGGTCTACAAGTCTCTTCAGGCCTACTGGTCATTGAGTTTATGTTTCCCTCAAAGGTTAGGCACACTCAGGCCTTCATGCTTTCTTTACTGGAAACCTCCTCCCTTCTTCCTCTAGGAAACACCAGTTCCTCCTTTAAGCCCAGATTTTTTTTTTTTAAGATGTTCTCACCCTTGGAGCCTTCCTTGATGCTCCTAGGAATATACTGATACTTTCGATTCTGAACTACAACTCTCTGCTCTTGTCTATTCCAACACACCCATGATGCCTGGCAAGTCTCTGTACGCATGTCCATCTCTCCCACGACACTGAGCGTCTGGAGAGCAGGACTCTGTGTTAAGGAAATATATATTCTGAGAGCTCATTATAACACACAATAAATAGGTGCTCAGAGGACCTTAATTGATTGCAAGAACCTGGGAGAAGAAAAGTGATTTGTAGAGAGAAAGAACTGTGTCAAGACAGCAGCCAGATTAACTTTCTTAATGTCTGCAGTTCATGTTCAGCACCGGTAAAAGTTTCTCCATTTATAAAACACAGGTAGTAAATAGTGACCCACTAAAGGAGAGGAACTGGATTCTAGTCATGTATGTGCCACCATTACCTGGGATGATGTTTGGAACATGACAGGCACTCAATCAGTGTGGAAGAAAGGAAAGAGAAGGGAAGGGGGCAGAGAGGAAGGAAAGCAAGGAGGAAGAGGAAGAAAAATTTGTGGAATGTCTCTAAAATCTACACCCAACTAAACCAGACTGATCCAGATGACTCATTATCATGAAATGAATGTTTGCCTTAAAGGGAGAGTCCACATTCTCCTTGTGGACTGCTCCAGCCTTTTATAGAATTTATTGCCAGGAAAATCTTCCTGTTGACTAACCCACATCCCTCCTGCTATGCATGTCACCTCTATTCTACCTTTTCATTCTTTCAAGGTAAATCTTTGATAGTTACTGTTTCTAAATGCTCTCCTCCTATATTCTAGGCACTGAGCTGAGCTACGTCATTCACACAGGTGAGCTCAAACCCTCACGATAATTCTGCAAAGTGACTTAAGTTTACTCTTCAAATGGGGAAAACTGACTGGTCCTCTGCAGTCAGAAAGTAGTAGAGTCAAAATTCAATCTGCTTGTCTCCGAAGACTGCTCCTCTTTCATCACAACCTGCCTCCATACCTACCTCTGCCTCCTTCACTGCTGGCTGGCTTATATTTTTTTAGTTAACAAATGCTTAAAAGGAACATACTGCATGCTAGGCACTTTTCTAAGTGATCCGCAAGTATTAAATCATTGAATCCTCACACCAATCATGATTGTTAGGTACCATTACTGTTCATATCTTGCAGATGAAGAAACTGAAGCATAGTGAATGTAAACTCTCATTTTACAGGTGAGAAAACTGAAACAAAGACATTAGTTTTCCCAAAGTCAGACTGTCAGTGGCAAAGCGGGGTCTAAATGCCAATAGTCTGGACTCAGTCTGTGCTTTGAGCCTCTACACTGAACTACCTCTATTTTTTGTTTTTAAAAAATAAACCACTGGTGAACTAAATTATACTTGCTACTTGCTGGTCAAGAGATTGATAATACCAAAGATTATAATTTAAGGTTATTGTCCTACTTGCCTTGTGTCTCTTACATCTTCTTCTAAGAATCTGTTCCATAATCAGAGACAGTTATGATTTTTCCCAATAGCCATTTTGAAAATTATTTCTATGATTACAGTGTAAATCAAATGAGAAAGTGTGGAAGAAGCCACATGAATTGCTGTCTTGTTCTAGAAGAGAAGTTCATGAAGACATGCTGAGGTTTCTAAGTGACAACACAGGGACGCCAGATGAATTTCATTCTCTCATTTTAACTCCAGTCAATTGGTAGCGGCTTCATGGAGCTGCATGTTGAACAGTTTCCAAAACCATGTTCTGCTACAAATAAGTGTAAAGTTTAATTTTCAAATTATTCAGAAAACTGTGAACAACTTTCTGGCTTCCCACAAGCTTTCTTCCTCCTCTGTATGAAGCGCCTTTAAGCTCGAGCTGCAAAGATGAACTTGGTCTTTCCAGTCATCACCACACCATGAACACATTTAAACTCAGCAAAGTATTTAAGAATAAAAACTCAAGGTGGTCCATCTCAAGGAAATAAACTAATCTTCTTGAAGGCTACAACCCAGATTTTTCATTTAATTCTCACAGATAACCTGATGGAAGAAGGATATGCTTATCCATTTTGCACATAAGGAATCTGAGGCACATAGAAGTCAAATGGATTGCCAAGAGGGTAAGTGGCTTCATGCAAGTTGCAAGAGCAGAGCTGAAACATGAACCCTGGTGTGACTGTGGACAAAGGCCATCCTGTTTCCAATATAGGAGACATTAGGACACCAATCAGAAAGGGTGGGTTATTATAAGATAGAGGACCAACTAGCTTATGGCATTTGAGCAATGTATGTGGCTCTGAATTCTCTGAAAGCTATTGGAAAAAGGGAAGTATATGTGTTAAGTGATGAAGTTTTCATCTTCTGGTATTTAAGGCACCAAATCATTTGTTAAAAAAAAAAAAAGAAAAATATTTCCTAGAACTATGTATCTCTGAGTGACACTATATATCTGATGCTATCTTCTACTGTGGTTTTACACTAGACTTTAAAATGCTGTCCAAATGTACAAAATGACTCTTTATAAAGGCAGAAGGATAATGTATCAAATGTCAGATGAAACCCATTCTGTTGAAGCTAATAGTGGGAGCCAGACGAATTAGTTCTCAAGACAAGCTGAAAGAACCTACGCTCTGATACAAGCCAGAAAGTTAGAAGGCCTCCGCTGTGCTGGAAAATTGTATGAAGTTATTTTGTATATAGATATTACTCAGTGGTGAGTGAAAAGTACAGAAAGGGGAGAGATCTATTTTATTCATCTTCTTGCATTTGAAGAACAATGAGGTAAGCAAATATATTGTAAGGTAGTCAGTGATCATTTCTAACTTTTATCCAAGATTGGATTTCTCAGAACACCTTGAAAGCGACAGACTATCTTTTTGAAGCTAGACCTTGAGCTAATTTCGAATTGTATTACAGCTAACACCCTCTAGAGAACGCAACCAGCTGGGATGTATTTCCTCTTGTGGGGAAGCTTAAGTATGGCTGCCAAAGCCACAGACTTTCTAGTTGGCTTTTAAGTGTTTTTCTGAATCAAAACTAGCTTAAATGGAAAACAAAAGTAGTAGACAATTTCCAAGCACTCACAAGCCTGAGCAAATAAATTTCACACTAATTAAAGGAAGTGAAAGCTTTTTTTATTCCTGTTTTTAATTGTAAGAAGTATTTTTCCTTTCTGAGCAGTTGATGGGATACCCAATTTCCAGAACTGGGACAAGACTTGTTAAAGTCAGCTAATTCACAGTGCTACTGGGTCCAAGTGGAAACCGCTCTGTGGACCACAAAAATCAGGGAGTGGCTTTGTCGTCATGTGAGCTCCAGAGTCATATGGGTGCTATTCAAACCTTGGCTCCACCACTTACTGGTTGTGTGGTCCTGGGCAAGTTATTTAACCTCTATGTACCTTAACTTTATTGTTATTTAAGTGGGTGATATTAATAGCCCCTAACTCTCTCACAGGGTTATTTCAGGATTATATTTTATGTCATATGCTTTGAACAGTGCCTGGCAAATTCAGGGTCAACATCTGCCCTGAATGTCTTATGCAGTGTTGGGCACATAACAGATGCTCTGTAAATATGGGCTGAGTTCATTAATATGTAGAATAAATTGCATGTTGTTCCCTCTGCCTGATATATTCCCCCACTTCTTTCCACATGAGAAAATCCTTCTCCATCTCGTTTTGTTGTTTTGGGACTCAGGAATGTCATCACTTGTTCGTGAAAAGCCATCTTACTCTTTTTTCATCTCCAACCCCCATTCTCACTTCCTTTGTCCCCACAAGGAAGCAGTGTAATGTGTTCAATATATGTCCATGTGTGTATCTTTCAAAGGTGTTTATATAAATCTACTTAACAGTTACATTATATATACACGATAAATTTAATAAATATATTTATATAAATATATATTTGAAAAACTACAGTGTCGTTTGGGTATGTATGTGTTTTAAAATTACTTACATAAACCTGCATGTGATTTTCTCTCTTTTCTATACTCAGGGGAAGCACACAAGATACCTCCCAAGATGGACAAATTTTAAGACTGTGGTAGAATGTCAAACTCCCAATTGGGAAGCAGGAAGAGGTTTTCTGTAAAGGTGTTCAAAGGACATGGAGAGAAATGGAGGCAGACACGGAGGGATAGCTAACATCAAGCGGTATAAAATTCAAAAAAAGAATTACATGGATATGTGCTTAGACATAAAATGTTCTACTGGCGGTACCAAACACTGCTCTCAAGTTCTGATATTCAGTGCTTGCAAAGAGGAACCAAATAACACAAAGGGCAAGAGTTGCTGAGAAGGCAGATGCGTGCCTCGAGGTCCTGCACTGAGGCCCAGCAGGCCCGAGGCCAGGGCCTGCCCAGACCTACCGTGAGCAGCACTTTCCTTATTACTGCTCACAGTCTTGTGGGCTCGGAATCCCAAATTACTTCAATTGCACAAAATCTACCTGGAGTAAAGCCAGACCAGACAAATTGCTTCTTCCTTTGGAAAGAAGACTTGGAGGCCTGGCTCTGCTGCTTCCCGTTTTCTGTTTCTCAAGAAGAGCTTTGCATATCTGAAGGGCCATTTGTGCTTCAAGTAGAGCTTTGCCAACCACGCCTACCTCTTTGGAATGTTCCCATCAGCTCCTGAAGGTGCTGCTGTGGGTGTTCTTTCATGGGCTCGTGTTCGTTTGTAGGCCACAAGCTGGATCACAAATACAGACGAGTGTGGAACACCGCTCTGCCTAATTCCTACCTTCCTCTCCTACAAGAACACCAAGCTTTCTGCCAAAGCTTTCCATCCAAAATCAATTTTGAAATTGCAAGCCAACGGTGTAGCTTTTACCCAAGCAAATACTGACAGACCCTGAGCCTTAGAGACCAATCTAGAAGCCCCATTGTCCAAGGCTGGATTATCATCACCTCCAAATTAGGAGGATGATAGAGCCTAAGAAAATTTCCAGCCATGAACTTGAGATTTATAAAGTATCTTGCAGATTCATTACTCGGAATTTGCAGATACAAATCAATGAATGATGTTACCACCAGGCTCTGGCCTTGGGGCAGGGGGGTGGGGGGACTCCTCCCTAAGAAATGTATAGAGGGAAATCCCAGAAAATGGACAGAAGTTTGTGCACCAAAATGGAAATGTAGGGTCTTAAATATTTCCAATATGCTAATACACCTGAGAATCCCTGAAAAGAAATGTGACTACCAGATGGGCTAGGCAAGAAGATGACTCCAAAGGAGAGGACATTTTAGAACTGAGTTTCCTGCACTGAGGGGAACACAGGAAGGGGAATGTGCTATTTGAGCATGGAGGGGCTGCAGGGAGAGGCTGCTAGTGGACCCAGCAGCAGAGTCAGGACAGGGAAGAAACAAGATTCCTGGCAACAGGGCCCAGCCAGCTGTGTCATGTGACATGTTTGTGACCTAGCATGTTTGAGTATACTTTGATTGTGGATCTTCCGTGAAAAATTTCGCACAGACTGTGTTTCTTGGACTATAATGAGGGAAAGAGCTACTGGAGAAAAAAAACGAAGAATGGTCATGACTTAAAAAGAAACCCACCCCTTTTTATCCAATCTTCAGGTGGTCCTGTGGAATGGTGACCAAAAGCTGAGACCAGAAAGGCGGCCATCGGAAAGAAGTTTCAGTCACTCTAGAAGCAAGTGTGTGGGAAGAGGTCCTGGTGTACCTCAGTGCGAGACACGGAACAAAAATGAGGTGGGACAAGGCAGGGCACCCCTGCCTGCTCCCCTCCCTTCCTTTCCAAGGCATACATTTTTCTCTGAAGGGCGTGAGAAAGAGGCAAGAGCTGAAATTTTTCTAGCAATTCAGACCCAGAATTTCACTTCCAGTTTGATGCTTTTTTGGTAAAGGAGCATCCTCTGGACCATTCAGTTAACCACAACACACATTTATGGTCCCCCCTTTATGTGCTAGGTGCTGGAGATACAGAGTATCAGAAGCCCCATCTGTTTGAAGTCTACGGTTTATCAGAGACTCTGCTTGCAGAAAGTCGGTGAGTAAAATTTCTTGGTTTTGTCTTTCTTGGAGTGCTTCACAATGCAACAGGTTCTTGGAAATCTTGTTTTGTTTTTCAAAGAAAGCCTGATCTAGCTGCTGGGGTCACTGCATTCCAACCCTAGTGGAATAAGTTTAACTACTGTTTGTCAGATATTTTCCTCTCAAGGGGCAGTGCTACAGGTGAGTGCAATGCTGTTAGCTGATTCATTTCAAGACCTGGGGTCCAGGAGCAAGTTCAAAACCAACTCAAATGGGGTTATGACCTGAACTTGTGAAAATGTTTTTTTCCTCCACCGTGTGACCTTCTAATTGCTTAGTTATTAGTTATTTTTCTCATGACTGGAAATGAGTTGCCTCACTCTACATGTGTAGCTTTATCTTATCAAGTGGCAAACTGAGAGAAATTTAAACTCACACCGAGGCTAAAAAAGGAATTTGAGAGATTACCACCAAAGAGGCGTCTAAGGTTGAAAGTTTGCTTTCCCTGATGCTTCCTGGGAGTGTCGGGAGCTCCAAATTTAGGCAAAGGGGCAACCAATACTTTATTTTTAAGATTGATGAGTTCTCTGTAGCCTTCTAGGGGCCTCCTCCTTTGTCTGTGGTGAGCCCATAAATGTTTTCCCAGACTCAGCCCAAATGCACAACCTGTGAAGCTTTCCCAAACACCTCCTGAAGGAACCAGTTGTCTACACCGTGCTGCATTAATGTACCAGTTGTCCACACCATTGCTAAACCATTTGTCACACTGAACCGGAATTGTTCCTGCATATATCTCTCCACTTCAAGTGTGAGCACCTCCAGAGAGACTTGTCTTATTTCCTTTTGAGAAATTTCCCTCTTCACCATCTCAGAACATAACAGAAGTTTGGTTCATTTTGCAGAACAAATGAATGAATAATGTTTTACTTAGATACAGGAATGTACAACTTTACTTACAACAGTAATATACATTTGGATGGTATTTTAAGAACTTACAGAGTGTACTTAGCTACATTATTCTGTTTGGTTCTCAAAATGTCATAAGGTAGGCAGATATTAGCACCCCATTTCTACAGAGAACAACATTTAGAGTAAGGGAAGGAGACTGCTCCACTTCACCCTCAACTAGTAAGAGAAGGAATGGGGACATAAACCCAGATATTCTGATTTCAAATACAGGACTCATGCCATCACACTTGGCACTCTGTGAGACAAGAGGGAATCTTTGAAGACGGGAACGTTACTTGAGACTCACTTCAGAATAGAAAGGACTGATTTCAGTCTGGAGCCACAAAAGGTGGTTTTAATACTTGCCAGGAAGATAAGGCAGCTCCTTCTAGTTTCGCCAAAGCATTTAAGAGTTTTGAAGTTAAAGATTTTTGAGCAGATATAGCTGAGGTAACAAAGGGAAGACCTGTGAAGGAGAAAAAGGACATGGAAAGAGAAATATAATCCAGAAGGCCCTTAGAAGGCTCTGGATGAGGCAGGTATTTGGTATTGATTAAAGGCAATGAGACAATCGGCCAAGGAAAAAGAAATAAAAGACATCCACATTGGAAAGGAAGAAGTTAAATTATCTCTGTTCAAAGATGACATGATTTTATAGAGAGAGAACTCTAAAGACACACACACACACACACACACACACACGTGTTAGAGCTAATACATGATTTCAAGGAAAACTCCAGGAGAACAAAAATCAACACACAGAAGTCAGTTATAATTGTATACACTAACAATGAATAATACTAAAAAAGGTAAATTAAAGGAAACAGTTCCACTTACAATAGCATACTAAAAAAAGTTTTATCTGCAAATGTAATTTAACGTAAGGGGGACAAAGATT